CAAGCTTGACATCCTCAAGAAAAATCCCTGGAACATGAGTCAAGATAGAATAACCAGGAAGTACCAAATCAGGAAGGCCTTTAAAACCTACATCTCTAAGAGGGAGAACTGGGAAACGGTGAAGAAAGCAGGCACCAATGTCATGCACTAGTATACAGATGGCTCAGGATACAGAGGCTGCTTTGGAGCAGGACTGTACGGGTCAGAGGAAAACTACAGGTGCAAGTGGTCCTTAGAGACTATAGTCACCGTATTCCAAGCGGAAGTTCTGGCAATCAAAAAGTGTTTTCATCAAACACGTTTTTGTGTGGACAGATTGTCAAGCCGCCATAAAAGCTGTCCTCAAATCCAGTGCTGACTTTAAGTTGGTCGGGGAAACCATGGAGAGCCTGGAAAAACTGGGAACCAGCAACACGGTAACCCTTGCCTGGGTCTTAGGTCACGAGGACATCCACGGCAACGAAACGACAATAAACGCGGACGAGTCTTCACCAGTAGGAGTCCTCCATGCCGTGGTTGTAACATAAAGGAAAAGCTCGGACGTGAACAATCGGAGTGGTAGAAAGACATAAAGACCTGCGGGAAGGCCAGGGCAATCATGCCTGGCGCCAGCAAGACAAGGTCGAAAGAACTACTGGCTATTAACAGGAAGAGTCCGGCCACTACGATCAGACTGCTCACAGGATATGGAAAATTTAAGGAACATTGCAGAGTCATCGGTATGGACTCGGATGGGTGGTGCAGATTCTGTAATGAAGCAAAAGAGAATAGGCCACCAGTATCAAGGTGGCTTAAATTGATGCTAGCTAATAAATCCACGCCACGAACTTTGATCTTTCATCAACTCTTTTTTTCTCATTATAGAGAAGTGTTGTCTGGTTCTTTTTTCATTTCTCTTATTTTTCAAAAACTAGCGTATGCGGTGCGCTGGTGCCGTAGCTAAGAGTATGACTGTATATGTCTATTTAAGGAATCTATACATTGAATGTTTGTTATAATTGTTCAAATGTCATCTTTATAAAACCAATCAAATAAACTGAAGGTTCTTTTTTCTTGTTAGAGAAGAAAAAAATCTTTTCATAATTCGGCACTTTATCATAGTTGAAATGCAAATTATTAACAAAACAAAGAAACTGTAACGAGATTTTCTCGTTACTAGAGAATATCACTAGTAAAATAACTAGGTGAAATGAACGTCATCTAACGCCGGCTGAAATAGCCGAGCGAAAGATGAATAGACCATCGGACGACGGCCAATGAGGCCGCTCCGAAGGTAGAATAGACCAATCACACAGTGGAAAGAAACGTGGTAGGGTGAGACCATGTTTCGGAACACTGTGATGGCGCTGACGATAGCTGTTTCCCAATTTGGAAATCCACCCAGCTGTGTTAGGGAGTTCAGGGCCGACGTAGAGGCGTTCCAACTGGGTGGTTCCGAAGGGCGCCGTCGATTTAGACCAGGGACCAACGGCTAGGTGAAAGGACTAGCGCCCCCGGGATCCCGTCGAGTTGAATGGTGGCTGTGGAGTAACGGATGACCCACAGTCGCTGAGATGCTCAGACTAGGGGGAGAAGGCCCTGGTAGATTTCAGGACAGTTCGCGTTGAGTGCTGGTCTCGAGCGGATGTTTTAGGAGCTCGGGATCAGTTGGTGGCAATAATCCCTGCCGGGATTATGAAGGATACGTGGTTCCAAGGAATCTTGGAATAGCGAGAGAAGGGGACACTTATGTGTCCCCGATCAGTGAAATGGATTACTTTGAGGCTACGGACGAGAGTCCGCGGCTACAGAGATCCATCTCTAGGGCGAAATCCATGGTGTTGGGGTGGACTAAGGGCTGGGATTCAAGGTGTTTCCCGTCGGTCCGGTCACACGCGCCTCCATGGGAGGTAACTCTAGTTTTGACTCGCGATGAGATTGCTATTACCGAGCTCTCGAGTTGGGGTGGACGTTAGGTGGGTGAGAAAGGTCTCCGGATACCTACGTCGCATGTGCCTCGAGCAGTTCGGCGCCCTGCGGGGTGAGAAGGATTCGCAGGTAATCTGTGTCTTGTCTGGGGTTGAGCCACCCCAGAGGAGAAAGTACCAAGTGAGAGGGATGGTCATATCCCTCCACGAGAGTCTGAGGGATACGTTCCCCGAGAGATATCGTTGACGATGCCGTGAGCACGGCAGAAGTTAGTGATTGAAGTTACTCGTACGTTGGTGAACCTCGCCCACTCTACCGTGTCACGCTGATGTTGGCTCGGCATTGTGAGACCCGCCACCGAAAGTCCGCGGAGTTGACGAAATTCCTTCACGGCTGGTTTTCCGTCAGGTTTTCCAGAAAAACCTGGCTGGCGCCCAATCGTGAACGATAGAGGCGGCAGCCAGAATAGTTTGAGGATTATCGCGGGGTGTTGACCCGGGAAAAATACTTTTACAAAACATATGTCAAATGTGTTAAATATTCACATATTCATATAAATCTGTTACAGGCAATTGAAATTTCAGTTTTTATTTACAACTAAAATTTCAATTATCCGGGTCCATAACCCATATTCTCTCCTAAAACCCAGGCGGAAAATATACGAGAATAGGTTCTGAATCGACTTAAATGGAATTTGTCATTGTGAACAGTTAATCGTTGTCATCTACGATTATTATGTTCAGGGATGAATCCATGCTCTTCATCTTTATTCTGACAATTATGGAAGAAGACGGTAGAATTAACGGGGAAAATTGGTCAATTATTTTGAAAAAGATTTCATGTCGAATTCTTATCTTTTATGGTAGTATGGCAATTATTGCAATATTGAAGTGTACGTAATGTAGACCGTTTAAAGATTTTCATTTTGATTTCATTCAAGTAAAAATGCAGGGCAATATTCTGGTTCTTGATTTTGTCATCAATACTGTAAAAAGCAATATTGTAGAATCTTAATGGAATGGAATTTTAGTGTTATATATTAGAAAATATTGAATGTTTTATATCTTTTAAGTATTTTCAGTTTGTTTTAATTTAGAGAGACATCTATTCAGATATTTTCTTTTCTGATTTTCTAACTTTTATTGTGTTCGTTAATAATTATTTATCAAATTGAATGCATTAAAGAGATACAGCTCTGATATGTCTCTTTTTGATTAAATTCTTACACCATAATTGAAGCACTTCGAAGATCCTCAACCCTCATTACGCTTATATCACGTGCTAAAGTCATCTTATCAACATCGTCAATCCATTTTTCTTCTTCAAAATTTTAAGATTTTTTGACTAATTCCTTACATACAAAATTCCTTACTGTAGTGTTTATCCGTTCCCCTCCAAGATAAATTTTCAATATTTTCCATAATCGTACTCGTGATAAAGCCACGTATAATTGGCCATAATTGAAAACGTCTTTCCGAAGATCAATACCAATTGTTCCGGATGCTTGGCACGGTGATTTATTGATTATGATTGCAAAGGCTAATTTGATCGGAGATTGAATAAAATTTGATCGTGAGAACGAAAATGTGTATATCTCTTCACATAACAATGTAATACGGTTGCGAAATACTATATGCCCTGCAACATCTCCATTTAGAAGCTCACATCGCAAAAGATTGGTTCCTGCTTTTAATAATAAAAATCTTATACCATTGACTGAGTTTTCATTTATGCTTAGATTTCTTATTAACATGATGATTGAAAATTGTCGCAATCGTAGTTCATGTGGTGGGAGACTATTTGGCGATAAAGAACTTAAATATTGTGGAGCTATTTCTTTATTATTTTTGCTGTTTTCATTAGAGTTTATTATATTCTTTACACTCATATAGATATGTTCGGTTATTTAATCCAGTAAATGTACTAGTTGTTTATTAATTTCATTAACACATTTCTTGCTGCCAATATTGCATATTTTAAAGTTTCTTTGAATTTTTCATCTTTTAAGACATAACCATAAATGTCTCTTGCAATACTGATATCATTATTGCATATACAATTCCGCAGCAATATTATATTACCTTCTTCTGTATTCATATTTCCGGCTTCAACTTTCAATAAGAATTCGCAAAATTCTCTTTCGCTAGGCAGCGCCTTCATACTTGTAGTTAGATCATATGGTTCGAAAAGTGGCCACAGTGGATTGAATTTGATTTATTAATTGATATTTCAACGAACCTGCATGACAAGTTTACACTTCGCTGCTTAATAAGCGGGAGGAAAGTGAGTACTTTCCGCCCACGGGTAGAAAGATGTTACCAAGGTCAGAAAATCAAGACTTTCCGCCATTGGGAGCAACTTTCCACCCTAAGATGGCAATTGTTCACATTTCGCCCGATTTTCAGACAGCAAGCCACAAAGTTTCCTTTGCAGGCATCTTAAAAAATAGCTTGTGCACCTCGGGGGAGGGGGGGGGGGAACTGACTTTCCGCCCTTGACACACAATATCCTATTTATTATTTCCATTATTTACGGCGATATTTCCAAATCTATGCACAGCGAAGTTGTGGAGATGGTCATTTTGACGTAATAGTGAAGGATCGACATTTTTTATCCGAAAGATAAGTCTTGTGATTGACTAATTCGACGAAGAAGTAGCCAAGTATCGGAACGGTACTTATCAACCAATATATTAACAGAAATGAACACTTTACGAAAAAATTCATGACAGTATTATAGTTTTTAGATTAAAATGGGGAACTGATATTTTATTAATTAACCGTTATACCTCGCATCTAACTGAAAGTTAGTAAGAAATGCTGGAACAAAACTGTAGGAACGCGTTTTTATCATTATCTAGCGCTAATTTGCGGATAAATTAACTAATATCTATATATACCAAGTACTCATGTAAATCTAATTTAGAAAGAAACATAAATGGAATAACCAACTGAACCTTCAAGATATATATCACAGTATCACAAATTTTTGGATTGGTCCACTAGTTAAGCAGGAGTTTCACAATTGGCCTATTCATTCTAATTCAATATACCATAAATTCATGCTGAAATATAATTTTCGCTTGTTTTCAGTGAGAGACTGGATGAACACAATCCTTGGTTCTGCCCGAAATGTGAGAGAAATCAGTGTGCTACGAAAACTCTTACGGTTCACCGATATCCCAAGTACCTAATAGTATATCTCAAGCGGTAACACCAATTTTTATGTTTTTCGATGTGCTCGACGTTTCTTTGATGAATTATTTTTATGTATTTGAAATGTACAGATTTGTATTCCACGAGTGTGTCAGCATGAAGCTGGATGACAAAGTAACTTTTCCTCTGGTTGGACTCAGTGTGGGACGACATTTATATGATCTCTATGCTTGTGTTTGCCATTTTGGAGGTATTACTTTATTTATTAATTTATATTTTAAAAACTATAATTCTTTAACAAGGAAACTTTTAATGGGTGAAAGTAAAAACTGGAGATGGAGCAAAATGAACAAGCTTTAAATTTGCGTTAATTTTTTTAAAGTTCATTATTATGCTTGAAAAAGGACTATTTTTATGATTTTAACGTTTTTTAGTTGTGAGCTACTGCTCACCAGTACTTCCAGGATTTAAATACCGAAAAGGAAAACTCAGTGCCACTTAACTTCCATCTGTTAGTTTTTGTTTACATGAAAAAGAAAGTTGGTAGGATTGTGTCTAATTGAATAATGGTCTTTTCGTCTATTCAATTTTGCCCCATCGTCCCCAATGCAGATTTAATATATCGGGCTGGTAACAATTCGGCATGGCTGGGCGACCCCTTTTACTATATGACAGAGGGTGGGCAAGAGTTCATTGTGTCCATAATGCCCCACCAACCGCATAGGAAGATATTTTCTTTTGTCGCCCCCCGTCACCCCCCTGCTCCATCAAATCAGATATTTTCAACTGGTGCTTTTCCAGAATCATCCTAAAATTTTATAAAACGAGGATGCGTAGGGCACGCCAGCGCGCAAGTATGAAACGACTGCTGTAAGAGAGTTATGACTTTGTAATCACGCGCCACTTTAAGTGGACTAGTAAGGAATCGTGGCTTCATGATTTCGACATTTTCGAGATAATCGATTGTGTCAAGTGCGTCCCTTTTAGAATAGGAACAGCATGGACTCTATATTTTTGGGTTTTTTTTAAATTTTTTTTCAGCCTATATGCATTTATGTGATACAGATCTGCTTCATGCAAGACTGCACGAAAGTTTCAAATAAAAAAGAAACACGAAAAAAAACAATCTATACGAGATAATCAGAAACTCTGACCGAGTCTTAAAAAATATATTTATTTTCTATATGAGGAAATAACTTCAGCCATTAAAAAATGCAGACACTGCTATTGTTTCTTTCCTATATTTTTTGGAAAGGTCGTTACTGTACCAATAATTTCAACAGCAACTTAAAAAATATCAATAATTCAGGAAGTTGAATTTTTCGGATCATTTCAGTTTTTTTCCTACCAATAATAGATATTTTACATTTAGTTGAATAACTCAGTAGAATTCCGTCCCGATTTAGATCTTCTAATTTCTTTTTTTACTAATCGCGGCGGCTATTTTTCTCATTTCACTATTTGGCAGACGCTAACGGAACGCTTCCCAATGCTGCTACTGTGAGGCCTCCCACTACCGTCCCCACTACGATCGTGCTAGGACCCTTATAATTGATATGGTTATAAACTTTTTCGGATTCTTAACTCGAGTTTATGACTCTGTTCCGAGCTACTTGGAGGTTGTTCATGCCTCATCTAATATATGTTGGTGACAACTGCCGTTACTAACACAAGTCGTTTAAGCCCGGCATGGGTAACCTCCGGGTAGCTCGGAGTAGAGTCATAAACTCGAATTAGAAATCCAATAAAGTCTATAACTATGCCAATTATAGGGATTCTAGTACGATCATAGTGGGGCCAGTCTTGGCCGTCCGATCTGCGAAATGGTAAAGTAAGAAAAATAGCCGCGGCGACGAATAAAAAAGAAATTAAAAAATCTAAACCGGGACAAAAATATTTTCTGAATAGGATCATGTGTGGATTCGTTGAAATTCTTAGATATGTTCTGTTGAAACCTGGATTGAATTTAGAAGGAGAAAACGATTGATTCTGTCCTCACTGTGAATTAATTAAATTCTGCAAAGTTCGTTTCATTTTTCATATATTTTTGTCCTCTCTTGGCCAGCTTAAAAACGTGATTGGAGTGAAAAAGGAAAATTTTCCATTTTCGACTTACTTCCCCACTTTTCCTTTGCTTAAGGGTTATCTCCACTTCGGTTGATTTCAGAGTAGAAGGGCCTTTACGACCCTGGTCGATCAGGCGCATCACCTGATACAATGGACTCTCGTCTACCCTTTGTTACGCACTAATAGAGGTTGGCACCACGACTTGCTCTCAGAGCAGAGGTTGCCCATGCCTGGTTTAAGCTATTCTTTTCGAATCAAGCAAATTTCATTGCACTATCAATACAGAATATTTTTTTTAACGAACGGACTTAAATATATATAGAAACATAAACCTAATCACGATGATTTCCACTGACCTCTAATAATGTTTGAAATTGCAGTTAAAACGTCTCAAGCGAGACAGAGACACTTAATAATGAGATTTCGACCGTGAATGATCATGTTTTTAAGTTCTGTGCTGAGCGCAAGTTATGCCAAACTGCCAATCAACATTCGTTCTCCCCCCGCTCTTGATAAGATAAAGTTCGGTAGACCGATCTTTCGCGGGAATCATATTTCGGCAAGTTAGACAGATATATAATTTACTAAATTCTAGGGCGAAATCTAGGTACAGATAATTAAAATATCTTCTATCTAAATATCCATCTATCGGCTTCAGTACAGGCGGTTATACGTCCATAGCAGTGAAATCAATATTATTAATTTAGACTTTCCTATCGCTATTTACGTCCGTAACACAAAAAAAATTTGATACCATTAAAATAGAATATTACGATAAAAGCAGCGGCAGTAGCCTTGCGGGTGGTTGTCCAAACTAAGCGACGTTTAGTTGGGTTACTACTTAGATATGTGTCCGCTTGGTTACACCTTCTGCATGGAGGCTGCCGGCGTTAGGCACGGATGTAGAGAGCTGTGTTCAGCAAGTCAGTGTAACTGATGTACACAGCAGATTCCCTGCATTACGAGCCAGTTGCACTACTGAGGTTTTCCATGGTTTCCCTTAGTACAAGCCAAATGCGTGCAGTTGGAAAAAGTTAGTCCATGGAACCGCAAATAGAAAATAAGAAACAGGATAGTAAGGAGAAATTTAAGGCTACAAGATGAGAGGCGCCTATAGAACCGTAATGGTCGTAGAAAAGAAAAATATTCCCATACAAGTGACAAACTCAAGTGGTTATATGCAATTAGAAAGCTGAAAAAAGATGTTTTTGTTTTTTCATAATTTAGTGGCGGAAAGGTCGTCTACTTCACAAAAACTAAAAATAGCGGACTTTTAATGGCAACATTTGAGGCTACAATGGCACTATTAATTTCCAAAAATATCGATCTGGTGAGCTCCTATCTCTGCTGACGATCTCCTGAATGTCCTCCAAAAAGAAAGTGTTCGATGGTGACCATGATTTCTCCGGTTTAGGTCGTCTACAATCAAAAATAAAACCAGATATTAACCGAAGGAATGATCGAACTTTCAATTTTCGCCGGAATAGTGGCTTTGCAAATAAAAAAATCGAGTTTTCGACCAAAATTTTTCCGTAAAGTTGTCTAAAAAATGGAAATAATTATCCGAAATTTTATTCTTTCCATTAAAACCCGAGGAGTATATCCGATCTCACGTCGAAATTTCAAAACAATAGATTCCACCGTTTTTCATTAATCGTGGTCACCGACTTGAAAAACATAGTTATGAGAAAAAAGCGTTTAAAGTTTCAGAAGTTCAGACATAGATAATAGTAGATTGTGCATCAAAGGGAAAAACAGGGCATTGTAACCTGCGCGTGTATTACCCCTCCGAGGCGAACTTGTATTTGTCGTCATAAGCACACAGAAAAAATACATTTTTTTTTGTAAATGACAGTGGGTTATCAACTCGAGGACCCTCAAAAACAAAAGCAATTCGAACAATGGAATAGGCTACTTTCTTCTCGTCACGTGAGGAGTAAAATCGAACTTTGCGTGCAGGTATGACGGCAAATTTATTTCTTTTTACTTACACGTCATCTAATCCAGGACCATAAGATTGGCATTGATGTTGTCTACTAGCCAGTCTTCCCTTTCGCGTGCTCTCAAGCACTCGCGATTTACTCTACATTCTCCTTGTCAACATATGCATATAGGCATCGGGCCCAACTGATGATCCCATTGCATTCATATAGTACAACAGTGATGTTGCATTTTCATTATAGACCTCAGCGGCGATGTGAACCGTTATTTCAACAGTTTTTCAGCAACACGGAACGATTTTTGGAGGTATTTTCCACATCAGCTGGTTCCAACTCGTACTGTTGTTTTGCCGAAAACCCCCACACATCTTTCTAGTCATTTTTAGCGCTGAGATCTGTATAGAGGAAGAAAATCGCGAAAATAAAAAAAATCGCTGTTTTGTTGTTCAGTGCACTATTGACTAGACGATACATTTTTTGAAAATTCTAACTGCACATAACCCCTTGGAAAAAATTCACTGCACGGACAGAAAGTAGAAAAAGATGGATCGTGCCTGAAAAGAGTTTTCACGCACGTAATGTTGAAACGGTATATTTCGATACTCATGGTGAAAGTGTTTGACTGGCAAAATTATATCACCCGCCTACGGTCAGCGTTATTAACCCCTCACGAGCACAAAAACTCTTTTGCCACGAGTATCGACATGCAGTATTGTCTACATGGTTACCCAATAAGCAGAAGAAAGCATTCGAATACCAAAGAGTAAAAACGAGAATACTTTATGATTGATTGCTTTCTGGTTAATGTTAATCAAACTTCTATTAAGTTTAAATCGTTTTCAAAGTCATGTAAATCACGGTTTTGTGAGTACTGAATCGCTCCATTGCATTTTGGAGAAAGTCGAGCAGCGCTCAATCATGTCGGAAATGATACGGCCAACGATTGTTTTATCCGCTCTCCCTGTCCATCACGCCGATCAAGATAAATCATCAAATAGGAGGAGTATTGCAATGACTACTGTATAAACCAAGTTTAAGTGCAAAATTCGACTTATAAAACTTGATGAATCAATCAAATGCAATGAATCCAATGGATCGTCTTACGAAATCTAGATGGTATCCCAGACCAGATCTGAGACCAGCATGTTCACGGGGTGATTCTAAAATGAAAAGTTTTTTTCCACTTTTCGATGAGAAGCAACCCTGAGGAGATATTAGGGGGAGTAGGACAGCTAATGGTGCT